AAACATGGTCTCTGTGAGCTTTTGTTTCAAACTTGTATAAGTATGGAGGGCAGAATTCTATTCTTAGACATAAGCACAACAGTTAGACCAAGGGAGATTTTCTTGTTCTAAGAGGGCAGACAAGGTCATAGACTTAAATCAAGGGAGCTGACCTGCAAGGCTAGGGCATAGATAAGACTAGAGCAGAGTTAGCCGGATTTAAAGGCTTGATGTCTGAAGAGAGAAGGATCAGGCTGAGGGGGTTCACTTCAGCCTATGAGATGTAAAACATTTCAGTAGAAATGTAGCAATCTTACAGCAAGCCTTAAAAATGTCCCAAGATCCCTGGGAGCATGAGATTGTGTCAAACAAAAGCTGTGAACAACTGGCAAATTTCTGGAACTTAAGCATGACTGTAGATGGTGGATTTTTCACTCTGAGAAAAATCTAAGGATACGGATAAAAATAAAATCTGACCCTCCTTCCTCCCTTCTTTGTCACCCTCCTCTCTTTCCTTTTAGCCCTCTCTTCTTCATTTTTACTCTTTAATGACAATCTGCTATGCTCCAGGGACTGTCCTCACTCAGCCTTGAAGATATAAAGATTTGAAGAAAAAATAAAACAGAAAAAAATCAAGACCCTTCCAGTCTCAAAAGTCCTCCTTAGCATTCAGATTAAGTAGATATCCATAGCAAAATGTCATGAGGAATGAGGAGCAGTCTACTTCCTATTATTTATTTTGTATTTTCTTCAAAGTTTTCAAGTGAACAACACATACTCAAACACGTATAATTGCTTTTCGTGCCCAGGTATTGTGTTATGGATTTAGGATGAAATGAAACACACAAAAGCTTTTTGTATTCAGTTCATAACAATTCTGTGAAGTACCTAGTATTCATAGATTCATTGTTAACCTTAGATGTAGAAGCACAGAATGGTTAAGCATTTTGTCTTAGGTAATACAAATCCTGAAGGTAAAGCATTGTATCTCCAGAAAAACCTTTGCTTTTGTACACACAGCCTTTGGTATGAAAAAGGGTACTAAAAATTTCGTGTTTCTATCATCAAAACATGCCACAGACCAATTTGTCATCCCAAATCTAGGCGTTTCATAATTTTTTAAATGGATTTTATTTTCTAGCTCAAATACACAACACAACACACACACACACACACACACACACACACACATAATTGTAGTCTAAAGTGGTTGATAGTAGTTGCAGAGCTTCCTTCACATAGCATTCAATTTCTGTTTAAGGATGGTTACCAATAGCCATGGAACAGAGAAACATATATTCCTTTCCTGTGTGAAAACGTATGGGTATATGCATACTCCCACATATGGTTTTTTAAATACATAAATGTCTGCCTGGTTTGAAATGTCTTTCATTTTACAATTTTGATAAAATCTTCTCAGGAAAAATGAGAAGTTAAAATAAACTGCATAATAGGCACACGTGAAATTACATTGCCAATGGACATAAAGGTTTACCCACTTTACAGATTTTGTAAGATGTAAAATTTGAAATAAAGCTGAGGGATGGAAGATGTGAGTTCATAACTTATGATATTCTATATTTAATATTTTCCTTGCTTTGTGAGTCTCTCCAAGAATTCCCAGGACCATGTCTACCTCTGAGATTTTAGCCTAATTGGTTTGAACCAAGAGAGGGTGCATGGTTCCTGGAGGTACTGACTGCAGTACAAGGTTGATGTATAGAATGGATGGAGCTAGCTCCAAGTCCATCTCCCAGCTCCAAAACTCCACTTAATATATTGACTTCAGGTAGAAGAAATACCAGATAGTAAACTGATAAACTAGATACTACCCTAAGCCAAAAGACTAAGAAGCAATAATTTATGATCCCTTTTTTTGGAGGAATTTATTCAGTTTATTATGCATGAGCCTCAGACTGGGCAAAATCTCTATCAGCATAACTGAGTCTCTGACCAGACATACTCACATTTTGATAGGTTTTTCCACATAAACTCTTGGGAATAATCATATTGGTGGATATGAGACAGTAGAGTCACTCCCTTTTCATCCATACAACTATAATGAGTACTATATTTTTGCTTATAATTTTTAGACTTTGAAAATTATTTCCACTGGAGTTTACCATAGATGGGAAATATTTGTAGTTTATGATCTTCTTAAAAACATTATACAGATACACCACAAAATACAGTCTTTTTAGAAACAATTTATAAAAACTTAACTAATTAATATGTCATATTTTTCAGTAATAAATATTGAAGCACAGGTATACATTCTAGGTAGAGTTATGAAAACATAAGAAACAATATATAAATGCAATATTTATCTGGAAATAAGCTTAAGTATAACTTGTCACATAATTTCTTGAAAATAGCCAAATTCATTTCTTTATGCAACTTGGTTAATATTAGCAATAAAAATGATATTCAATTTGTTCTAAATCATTTTTAAGCTACATTTCTTGGAACTGTTTTTCTTAGAGTCTGAAAATGAAAAATTATACCCACTTCCCTGTTGTATCCCCTCACATTATGTTTAAGAAATGCAACACTGCTCAATGGATTTCTTAAACCTCCAAATTCAACCATCTGCAAACCTCTCTTTTCTATAAGGAATCTTAGAATAAGAAAGAAGGAAAATACTTCAGTGCTTCCAAAATAGATTTCAGACACATAAAGCACTAAAGCATTTCTGTTTATTCAGATAGATACATGAGTCTTTGCTTAAGTTATGTTTGTTTTTATTTCGCATGTAATCCTAAAAGATTTGATTAATCATTTCAGAACTATCACAATTTAAATTAATAGATGCAAGAAAGAAAATTGGCTGCTTCAAACAATCATAGTATCTATGATTTAAATGGACAATTGTCTGGAACACATTGAATAAGTTATACAGGCCAAGAAATGAATGAACTGAAATCCTAGATCACTGGCATGGTTTATTCAGGAAAACTATTGTTATAGAGAAGATGGAAAACTGACACCTTTATGAATCGCAGGCATAAATAGTTCATTAAATTTTCTTAATAAATTCTTATGGAAATTACCTCAGTAATGAATGCAGTATTATATGTGACAAAGTGTTCATAGATTTCATACTGTTAAAACAAATATAGACTATTTAGAAACACCATAACCATAACCAAAGGACCTTATTATCTGTTACCAAGTCATTGCCGTGCCTCTTTTTAGCAATGAGATTGGCTGATAGCTTGCTAATACATCAAGAATTAAAGCTTTGGCTGTATATTCAGAGCTGAAGATATTTTCACAAATCAATTTACTCAAAAGACTTAACTGAACCTTTGGGATATAATTAAAATCAATCAGTTATTGATTATCTTTGATACTCTTAAACTGATTTGAAATATTATACTCAGCTTGGAAGAGAAGACATAATTTATGCACAGACTTTTTGATTAGCAATATCAGTACATAGACTAGAAAACAGTACACTATTATCTCCTCACAATAGGATTGGAATGCAAAAATTAGAATTCAATCCTTTTGTGTTAAACACAAAAGAATGGAAACAGATGGAAGAATTCAAAAGAGAACAATCCTTACAAAAAAAGATGTGGAAATATGCTGCTAAAAACACTGAAGAGTAAGCCTATTAATCTTTCAGATCATCTGTTATTCCTGGATGAGATGCTGAATGTGTTGTGACATTTTAATACAAATGACAGAATGTTTGCGCTCCACCCTTATTGTCGTCACAGAAGGTTAAAACTACCAAGTGCCTGCTAGATACCTGTTCTAGCAATGGTCAGAACTACACATCAAAAATCACAAGAAATTATAAATTGCCCATGTTCCTGGTCCTCCTAGCAAATCAGTATTTCAAGTTCATTCATTTTCATGTGTATGTATTTATTATTATTTTTTTAGTATTTTATTTATTATTTTTATTATTTTTTAAATTTTATGTGTATGAGGGTATTGGCTGCATGTATGTGAGTGCACCCGTGCCGTGCAATGCTGCGGAGATCAGAAGAGGGCTTCAAATTCCCCTGGAACTGGAGTTAAGGACTATTTGTAGCCACCATATGGGTGCTGGGAATCGAACCCGGGTCCTCTGCAAGAGCAGTCAGCGAGCCATCTCTCCAGCCCCATGTATGTATTTTTTAATGTGGAACTTTTAGTCTTGACCTTCCCTCCCTCCCTTCCTTCCTTTCTCCCTCCCTCCCTCTCTCTCTTCCTCCTTCTCTCCTCTCTCTTTCTCCTTCTTCCTCTTTTCCTGAGCAGGAGATTGGACCCAGGGGTTTTCACATGAAATCTCTCACTAAGCTTCATTCCAAATTTTAGACTTGAGGTTTTTTTTTATAAAAGATTTGTTTCATTTAAAAATTATGTAATACATGTGTGTGTGTGTGTGTGTGTGTGTGTGTGTGTGTGTGCCTGTGTGTAGGTACATGCATGTGAGTAAGGGTGCCTGAAGAGGCCAGAGGTATTGGATGCCCTAGAGCTAGAGTTACAGATGATTGTGAGTTTCCAAAGAAGATGCTAGGAACAGTTTGGGTCATCTGCAAGAGGATTATTATAACTGAGTCATTTCTCTGTCCAAGGTGAAGAAAATGTTTGTTTAATTCTTATATTTTATAGAAGCTGATAAATTAATTAAAATGTATAGTAACTGGCACTGCATATATATGTAGTACATATATGTACTGAAGTTTGTTATAAAACTATATAGTATGTAAATTGAGACTGACGTAATATTTTTATATTTTTTATTGAGTTTTTTGTATTGAATTTGTTCATACAGAACACCTCAAACAATCTTATCAATCTTTATACCCTCATCCCTACTGGCACCCTCTCATAATAGCCCCCCACTGGAGCCCATATACTCTGTCATCCCTGTTAAGGTCCACTGGGTTGTCAGTATCACCAGCCTTTTCCCAGTGCAAGTCCATCCACTGAGTCTAGTCAGCCTAACTAGAGTCCCTTGTTTTAAGAAGGTCAACTTTTCTTCATCTAGCAGCAATGAAGTGCCAACATTCCTTCAGATAAGATTGAGGTCTGCTGTTCATTTTCTCAGTTCTGTGCTGGGTTATTGTCTGCCTGAGTTTGCATGTGACTTGTGTATGCTGACATCATTGCCATAGAATAATATGAGCATGTTCCTAGGTCATGCACCTCCTCCCTGGCACTTACAATCTCTTGGTGGCAATCAACAGCTGCCTAATTTGACTAAATGTCCACTCAAAGAGAGGAAACTCAAGTGTGGTAATGTAAACATAACCTAAATGGCTGGAGTGGCTATAAATTTTAGAAAAAAAAAAAACCAAGTCTGCCACATCACTAGAATAATGTGATTTCTTACTGTGTGCAAAATACGTATCATTATATTTTCAGACAAATATTCCAGTCACCACTCATCAAAGAAGCTCATTTTTGCACCAGTCAGACAAATACCAAGTACCACAACTGGTCACACATGGACATTGTCTATGAATTCACCAGCCTAAGTGACATATCTACAATGCTATCTCTACACCTTAGGGTCATGGAACATAGAACAGGGATAATGAAGAGGACACTAATTATTCTCTCAGTTCTCAATAATGAAGCTCCCTCATGAAGCAGACAACCAGGAACACAAAAGATTACAAATAGCCAAAGTGTAGAGATCAAGAGTCTGCTGAATTGTGGTCCTTGAACAGGATCAGTTAATTAAAATTCACCTTCCCAAGGCTCAGAGACCATCATGGAGGAGGGAGGCAGAAAGATCGTAAGAGACTGAGTTAATATTTTAACAAATTATCATTTTATGGTTCAAAGAAGTCAGATGAATATTAGTAAATCAGACAGATTCAACTCCATGCTGGAGAATCTACAAGTGCTATCTCGACCCTTTTAAGTTGCTCTAAAATTCAAAGATATTTAACCTACTCAGGTTGAACAGTAATACAACTCTCATTTTATTTGATATAATAATTCAAACTAAATTTCAAACACCTGTAGGGAATAAGCAATGATAATATATGATGCAACTATATACAGAGACTGTATCAGAAGGCTCAAATTTTAAAGCAGGGAAAATTTGGGTACTTTCCTGTGGACAGACAAATTACTAAGAATATAATTTTCTACTGCTTTTTGTTTTTGCTATTGTTCTTATCTCCACAAATGGAATGTTTTTCTTTTCCATTAGGACATATTTGGAACTCTTCGAGTTCTGAGAATTCCAGGGTTCCAGAACGTTGACACTGGCCAGTTATGTCTGTGTTGATTTTTGTTACATGAGATTAGGCTAATCTTTATGGAAAGAGTAGAGAACAATTTGATTTATTCCAAACAGGTAGAGGTCTTAGATTCTGGAGAGTGTAGTCTCTGGGGATTTTAGACACTTTAGCTCTATGTGCTGTGGACGGCTGGGATCTGATCACTAAGTAGCCAGGCATCATGAATCTGGAGAAAGAGAAGCATACAAGATCACGAGAGGCCAATTTAGTGTGCACAGTATGGAATCATTTAGGAGGTTAACAGGTCTCTGAAGCCAACAATACCTGCCCTTTCACACAGTAAGGGTTTTAGTAGTAGCAAGCTGAAGTACATTGTGGGGACTATGCCCTTGAACTTCTGAAAGGATCCTCTCATGGTGTTTGCAGTATCAAAGGGGAGAACATGAGTTCTCAAGTGACTGATGCTGATTTTCAATCATATAGTAGGCTTCATAAAAAGTAGTTTTGTTCTTCTTTTAAAGTACATACAAATTCCATTTGATTTTTACCTTGTTTTGGAGAAAATTTAAAATAGTATGTCTTATATTGCTTTTATACACTTTCATGTGGTTATACATGGATAAAGCTTGTTCTTTCCAAGTATTAATTCTTTCCAGTACTTTTG